CCCCCCCCCCACGATAATCAATGGATACGTTGGGTGGACCCTACCGGGACTCGAACTCTGATACCTCGGTTATCCAGCCAACAGCCAGTCGCTATACCGACTACGCCATCCCGGCTCAATAGTGGCTGTTCTCGGAATGTATTACGCGTGACACCGGTTACGGTAGCCCAGCGGTCTAAGGCATGTACTGTCTTCGCTCGCTTGGAAACCGGGATCGTGGGTTCAAATCCCACTAAGAGCACGGATATTTAGTTTGTATGTGCGCGTTTTTCTGATCACCCGCCCAAGGAGTCCTACCGAATGTGTAAGATCTAGAAAAACCGAAGTGAACGGAGAAGTTCATGGAGGTAGGCCTAGTCCCGCTGGGGTGTAGTGCCAAGGGGGGGAAAAAAATTGCTTGTGAGAATTAGGCCTAGCAACAAATTATTTCAGAGTCAACGTAGCGCACACTACGTGAGTTGAAGGCAACACTGGAGATTCTGGCTTTGTACGCGTAGAATGAAACAGCAGTCCGCCATTACGAGACAGGGCTTGCAACTTACGCAACAAACACGAAATCTTGATTTTCCAAGTAAAACGTTAATATATTTTGTAAAATAATTCGTATGTGAGAAGTACAGGAGATATATGTAACTTGACTATCTGGTAGTTTTTCTGTTCTGAAATGCATATATGGGGGCGGGGTTATTGGCAAGCAGTTGGTAATATTACACGCGTCAGTTTTGAAACTGACGAATATATGCCATTGTAATTGGAATATGGTAAATAAACTGGTTGGCTCATAAACTGTATCTGTATTGCATGGTAATGCCTATCACGGTGGCCGCGTGGTTTCGAATCCCACCCAAGGCAAGGATGTCTGTATAGGCATTTATTGTTTGTTGACCTGTGTGCAAGTAACGGCCTTGCGACAAGCTGATCACTCGTCCAAGGAGTACTACCGTTTGTGTAAAAAAATATGACAAAGCTGAAATATTTACATTACACACATAACTAAATAACTAACTCCATGGTGCTGAGCTATTCTTGAGAAGCTGCTGGTTGCCGAACCATTCAAGAATTTCCCCAACATTTTATGGAGCACGTAGCTTCATTACCATGTTCACAAGAGCCCTTCACCAGCCGCTGTCATGAACCAGATCAATGCAGTCCATGCCACCCCATCCTATATATATCTGAGATCCATTTCAATATCATTCCCCCACCCAAGTCTAGGTCTTCCTAGTGGTCTTTTTCTTTTCTGGCTTTCCCACCAAAATCATATATCCGTTCCTCTTCCCCCCGTGCTTGCTATATTCCCTGCCCATCTCATCCTTCTTGACTTGATTATTCTTGGCAATGAATAAAAGTTATGAAGCTCCTCATTAAGCAGTTTTTGTCAACCTCTTATCACTTCATCCCTTCTTGGTCCATGAGCACCCTATTTTCT